TTTGAAAGAATGACAATGTCACGATCTATTATTTTACCCTTCGATTTACGAGTAATGTCTTGTTTTCGTAACTTGCAGTATTAATTATATACTATCTTATACAATAACATTTAAATCTGCCATTGGCATTCGAGCAACCATTGTAATGAGTGTAATTGTAATTAAGAATATTTAAGAACGCAATGATTTAGTATCGAGCGAAGGCGTTGTGACCTCTTATTTAATCAGTTGTTCTCCTCGCAATAACGTAGAAAATAATTTAAAAATCGAATGCGTTTCTGTGAAAAAACAGTGCGTAAATACGAATCTAACGACACCTCTCAAGCTAAAATCCATCAAACCGTTCAGGCTGCAGAGCGTGCCAAACAATTATACATACATACCCTCGAAAAACATAACCCTCTTTCTGGCGGAGTCGGGTAAAAATGTAATAGATCTGATACCACTCAAGTTCTATTTTGCGTAAATGTGGAATTCAACATTATTTAAATGTTCGAACAGGAATAACTCCGTTCCTTATTTAGTTGGCTGTTGTTATTTAAAGATCATAAATGAAACACGCGGACCGATCAAAAGCTCTTAAACCGCCTTTTGACAGAATATAAAACAAACCACGGTTAATGTTATGGCGCCCACTTCGATTGAAGTAATGATCATTGGTTTATTATTGAACCATTCGAGATAACTCTTTCGTGATACTCTCCAGACGCGAGGCACATTGTATTTATCTGAAGAGGGCAATTAAAAGTAATACTATTAACTACCGTTGATCATTTTTAATTCATACTGGAACTGAGCATTGCGCCTTCCGCTTTATTGTTAGAAAAGTTATCAAACAAACTGCAAACGATTAACCTTATAAACTAACCCTGACTATCCTAGAGTGTGCGTATTTATATCAGGATCAACTATAGTTTGGCCTAGCCTAAACTAGTCTATCCTATCGGGCTTAGGACAAATTAGTTTGTACTAGGCTAAACTAGTTACTCCTTTCGCGTATAGGAAGAACTAGTTTAGCCTAGGCAAAACTAGTTTGTCCTGAAATCGGGTTTGGCCGGTAACATATACATAAAATATAATATAATAAATAAATATATAAATAAAGATAATGTAATAAATATATATATATTTTACCTTTCCATAGTAACTGTTGATGTAATTTAGTTTATTTTCCAATCAGTTTCTTGTACAGTACGTATGTATCTACTATTCGTGAATGATATGTACGCCTGTTATTGATGTGTTCATTTGTTAATTTAATTATGTGTACTTCTAACCTTTTATTGTACCTCGAACATGTTTTGGTGTACCTTTATAAAAAGAAATAAAAAAAAACAAAATAAATTGCATGTGTCCTTCAAACCTCTAAGATGTTTATAGCATTACAGTGACGAAGTTTACAAATGGTGTACCTCGAATTGCGTACTGCGATAAAGCACTATTAGTTATGCGCCCACGCTTACGGCATTACTGACTTATTGGTGCCGGCGTGGGTGCACCGGCCCTTCGTATATGGAGTTGATTGTGTCACGAGGCGGTTATGTCGCTATAAAAATCCTCCGGTTCAATTCTGGCCTTACGAAAGCTTTACCGCTGCTCGTTAACAAACTGACAAACGAGAATAAATGCGCCCGAGTGATACAAAATAATTCAACTAGGTTCAAATTCGCTTCATGTCATTCTTTATAAAAAACAAGGCATTTCGATGGTCTTCGTCGTAGTCGTATTCGCACACGAAGGGTTCCTTACAATTATCTATAACAACCGCAAAAAAATCATATCTCTTGTATGGGACTTAAATAATTTTTCATCGGTGAAACAAATCATCGGTGAAAATACCAACTGTCTAACTATCACGGTCGATGAGATACAGCCTGGTGACAGAACTCGCAACTATACTATGCAGTATGAACTATACTCGCAACTACTATAGTATGGCCAGTTAAAGGCACATTTAGCGAGTCTAGTTTGATGACATCAACTTTAGCGAAAGAATTATCCTCGAGTGACAGTAAATCCATCGATCAGAACGACATTGAGATCTTAGGTGAACGTGTGACAGAGGCGCGATTCACAGCAGCATTTTAAGTAGCATCTATAATATATATACAGATTTCAGAAAAGGAACGAGAACCATAGGCGAAAGAGCGGTAATAAAGGGGAAGAGCGGAGTTTTGGCGGTAAATAAAATAATTTAAACGAATTTTGTGATTGCATAAATATAATCATAACCTCGAGAGGCCAGTTTTTGGACATTTCCCGTTCCTCAATACTGTTCATTTTACCGTTTAAAATAAGGTTTAAAACGCCGCACATTTAAAAAGCTGGGTGTGAACCGAGCTTTATCGTCGATCTGAATGTCCGTGTGTTTATTATTCAAATGAACAGCAAGAGGCCTCCGAGGTCCGAGATACGATGACATCACTCACGGCGATTAAGTAAACGCTTCGTTAGAAGGGGCGTTTATACGACACCTGACAATCTACTATATGTATCGCACTAAATACAAGTTACTTGTTTTCAAGTCCCATTTAAATCTATATATTAATACGCGAAGCAAAGACTTTGTACACCTTCTAAAGAAAAACGCGCGGACGGATGAGTATGAAATTTCACACACTTATATTGTTTTTCACACATGTATATAGAGAAGGTGTGAAGAATGCTAAAAATATATTAAATCAATAAAAAAAAAGCATTAAACACACTACCGTGTATAATTCATTATGGAATTTCGACCACTGGGCGACCACTTGTAGTAATAAATATTTCAGGATATATTTTTACACGTTATCTAGTTCCAAACTATGCAACGTACTATGGGTACTAGATAACTGATGCACATACTTAATCATAGCTTTCTTTTGTAAATAAATACATATCTTATCCTTTAAACGAGCAATTCTTGAATCTCGGAAACGGCTCCAGTGATTTTCATGAAATTTGGTATGTGCGTAGATTCGGGGGCGAAAAATCGATCTAGCTAGGTTTCATTTTAAGAAAATGTCCTTTTATCCCTGTTTTCAGGGAATGAAAAATATCATTCGAATATGACGGTAAATTTCGCCGCAAAAAAAATGTTATTATAGCTCGGTCGGTAATCGGGCGGCCCCAAAACAGACGGCCGCGTTTCGTATCACGATCATTTACACACTTATTTTTTTTAACTTTTTTTTATACCAGACCATTTTCTTTATTTTTATTTTTTTATTTCCAAAATACATGATTTACCAAAAAAAATCCGAGCTCGGTCCTCCAGGTACTTATAGATTAAACATCTAGACACTATAAAAATACTGCAAATATATTGTGTCATCGTCGTTCATGACACAATATATTTACAGTAGTGGGGATCGAACCCACACCCTCAGAGAGACAGATGGACTATCCGCTACGAGTGATTCTCAACCTTTTTTTTTGTTGCGGCACATATTTAACGATTTCAAAATTTGGCGGCACACAAAAAAAAAAGATAAAAATTATTTACTTACTACAACACACTGCATAAATAGTTTATGACAAAAATTTTAAATATACGAAATAAACTAATATATACTACAATAATAACTAAACGTTTATTCAGGGATTAATTACAAAATTAATAATAAAAATATTTTTAATGCGAAATTTGAGCTTGATGTTTTTTGATAATTTAATTTATATTTGGTCGTAAAAATGACAATGCTGCTCTCATATCGTCTTCTACATTTACCAATCTTGATCTTTTTTTTAGTTTTAATGTTGGATAGTGCCAAAAAATATTTTTCTTATTAAATGATATAATTTAATAATATTAACATTATTATATATTTGCAAAATTTGGCGGCACACTTTTGAAATTTGGCGGCACACAAAAGTGCCGCGGCACAGTGGTTGAGAATCACTGCGCTACACCAATCATGTTGCTATTACATTTGACATGCAAATAGCTAACGCGCACTTTATTTCTAAATATATATAGATTTTGACCGACGCGCAAAGTTAGCACTACCCTAAGTCCTATCCTAATAGAACTTTTCACAGTATATAGAACATTCGAATAAGAACATATCTTAGTTGAAATTATTCATAAATAATCATAACAAAGCCTATTTTGCCAGATTTACACGAATTAAATACGATTCACGTTAAAAGCAACTCAATGTTTCTCAGGGAAGTTTGATTACATTAAAGTTAAAAAAAACCTCAACTTGAAGCGCTCTCATAACAAATCTATGACTTAATCGAACGCGTCACCCGGCCAAGGTTAAGAAAACGGAAATCAAATGAATTCCTAAAACGACATTGCAATAGCTAAGTCGACAGTCGTCACGCGTTTAAAAAAAATCAAGTTGTTTACTCGTGTTTTTTAAACTTGAATTTAATTAAAAGTCGTAAGTGATCAATAGTTGATTACATGCTTATATTTTACAATTCAAGTAAAGTTATAGCCTATCCCAGTGCTAGGCATAGCCTCCTTTGTACACAGGATATTAGGGATAGGTCTGCCGATGGCGGATTCGAAAATATGCCATTTTCCTCACAACGTATTCATTAACTGCTGAACATGTGATAAGCCATCACCAAAAATGGCAATTAACAATTACATTCCGGCACTGGGATTTGGACTCGGGTTGCTCGAGCGCATCGAATTAAAAGCGAACTCCCGGACACTGAGCCATCGTGGCTCGTCGAAGTTTTAACAACTTATCTTTCTCCCTGTGTACTATAGCAATAACAAGGCATTTTGAGATACGCGATTTTTTTAAGTTAGTTTATGATTCTTGGCTCATCAGAAACCATTTTTTGTCTGTGTTGTGACAGGCGTCAAATCAAGACCTCAAAAAGAAAGAAAAATTCACCAGCGGCAGCCATCAAATGAAATAAAAAACGTGGAGACTCACTCGGAGGGATTCACTCTCGCTCAGTCTCTTTCTACGCAAGAGCGTTGAACGTTCAACGCAACCTTGTTGGAGGTCGCATTAGGAGTTTCACTTCAAAAAGAAAGACATTCGACTCACCAGTGTGACGATGTCGCCGGGGTTAGCGGCCGCGATGCGCCTCAGCCGCTCGTACAGCATGTCGAGTAGCCGCTGGTGCTTCGCGTTCAGCTCGTCGAGCTGGCCGGCGACAATCTCGGCGCCGGCGACAGGTTCGGCGCCGGCGACAGGCTCGGCCAGCCCGCGGCGGCGCAGCCTGTCGCCGCGCTCCGCTTCCGCCCTTCGGCGCAGCTGGCGCGCGTCCAGCGAGGGGTGCACCTCCTCGCAGAGCCACTCCGCGTAGCGCTGGCACCGCGACGCGTGGATCTATTCGTTCGGCGCGGGTTAGGCCGCGCCGCGGTTAGTCTCGGCCGGCCGGGCCGTTTTCGAAAATCGAACGCCGCGCTCCGAATTCGAAATTGCTCTAGTGGCTGATTTGTGAATTTTTTTTTAAACAGCGAAATGGCCACTGTTTAACCGGACTTATTTTAGAATCGGAGCGGTTCGAAAGCGGCCCGTCGTTGTGCGGTTAGGCGGTTCGAATTATATTTTATTGAAGCTTCGTCTCTCTATTCCACAGGCATACTTCCGGCGCATACTACTTTGAAAGTTTCGCGATGGCGGTACGTTATACAGACTTTCGTACGCTAGCACTCGCACTGGCACACACCTTTCGGTAAAACGATAAACAATAAAGCGGGTGGAATTTGAGTCCAGCTTTAGAGGTAATCCCGGGAAGAAGTTCATGCTGGGAAACGTTTATTTAACGGGATTCCGAAGCGTGCAACACCCATCGCTCAGTGTACGCATTAAATATGCACGAAATACGTAAACAGCTTTCTTTTGTGCCGGCAACACTGACGCACCGAAAATGCATGCAAAGCGGTCTCTATTGAAAAAGAACAATGAACTCCCGCGAATTTATTTATTTCAAGGAACGTCTCCGTTCTCAAAAAAAAAAACTTAATTTGAATTTCAAATCATCATCCATATTTATGAAGTACGTTGACACTTTGGCAATACAAATCTTGACTTTTATTTATCACAAGTTAAAAGGTATAAATTGCTGTTGTGGGACGATAAAAAAATTGACACAATCACACCAACTCATTCATGATTTGTTACAGTTAGTAGTTCAAGTTCAGAAGCGTTAATAATCAAGGATAGCGTTAGAAGCAATTTAATAGGCCAATATTATTTTGTTTGCATACACCGTTTCATTACCTGCAAGCGTTAGCATACAATCCAGCGTAGTTATATGCCAAAGGCAAAAATAAAAACATAAGAACCTCTGCTATATCAAGAGACCTTGGAAGTAGACCCAAAACGAAAGAAAGACGAACGAGCGAAACCAGGAGGTGCAGGGGAAGACGCTGGACCGAAACGCATTTAAAGACCTTTCATAACCTCAAAACAGAAACGAGACAATACACTGGCAACTTCTACAAAATGGCGTCGTAGTGGATTTCAGATAAATCCACAGTGCGTACAATGTGACAGTTTACGCAAATCCAAAAAAGAACCTCTGTAATAATAAACTTAACCAATACTATATTATGATAATAATAAAGGTAAACTGTAAAGTATGCTTTCAAAACAATGCCACAGATAAAACAATCGCCTCGACATAATTACCTTTGCCTCGCGTATGAATCTTCCGCCGTCTACATTCACCTTCTCTATCTTTGGTGTCCTCTCAACGACACTAGTAAGTAGAGCCTGAAATAGAACATCGTAATTTAATAAGAAATAAAAATGTATTTTTTTTAATTGTAGTTGTACTTGTATGACTTGATCGTTGCAAAATCGATAAACAATTTATTCGATAAACAATTTAAAGTGGAATTTACATTTCCACGTACCCGGAAATGTGCCTATGAAGTAATCCAAGATTCTCGTTCTTCCTAGGTTCCTAGGAAACGTTTTTATTTTTTTATTATTGTTTCGAAAATATGCAGGTTTCCTCACGATGTTTTCCTCCACCGCTGAGCAGGCGATAATTCTATATCGAATAAATAAGTCGGCGGTGGGGGCGGGGCCTCACCCTGGTGGTCTCCAGGTGCTCCTTGGGGCGCGCGTCGAGCGGCGGCTGCGCCTGCAGCCGGCTGTAGGCGCCGTCCACCCAGTCTGTCTCCTGCTGCAGCCCCACGCTGTAGTTCCGCAGCATCTGGTACGCGGCCTCGCAGCTGCGCAGCCTGCCGACAGGGGACGTTTGTCCTTTATTGTCAAACGAGCGGGCGGTTCACCTGATGTTAAGTGATACCACATATGATGGACAGCGGACCAAAAACTAATAAAGTCTAAGTTAAAGACAGCAGTGACCGTCCCAGAGTTAGACGCTTGTTTATATCATGTAAAATTGCACGTGTCATAAAATAAGTTATATGAAATGAATCATATGAGAAATATTATTGTATCCATGATTAAATTTAAAAAAAATTTAGAAGATTAGAAATGCAGTTTATACGGCCTCTTTTATCCTCAACGTCTAGAATTTTGTTTAAGCAAGTCGAGAAGCTGAAGCAAGTATTTGTCAAATGGGGTTTTGAAATTCTCGCCGCTTTCCGCTTTCTGCCGTACTTGTTACGCTAACCGATATCGCTAAGCAATAACCGCCGCCCATTAACATTTGCAACAACCGTAGGGTTTCAAATTCCTTGTCACCTCACAATAAAGTTGGCCCTGCTACCTCACTCATCAGACCGAACGCAGAACCTCCACTTCACACCGGTCTTTCCCACTAACCGGACCTGCCCAATCGTGGATGGAGGTAGGAATGGGGCTCCGTACCTCTCGGCCAGCTGGGTGCAGACCGCGTTCCAGCGGGCGTTAAGGTGCGAGAGATCCTTGTCCAGCCGCTCCAGGTCCGAGTGGCGCCCGCGCGGCAGCGAGGCGTGCGGAAGACCAGAGCGCGAGGTCTCCACCAGACGCCTGCAGTTCTCCGCCTCGTCGTTCATCTGCTCCACCAGCGCCTGCTGCTTGCTCACGGCCACCTGCATCCGCAGCAGGTCCTCGTGCATCTGCGCAGAATCGCATATATGAGCAAATCCATACTTAATATTATAAATGCGAAAGTAACACTGTCTCTCTGTCTGGCTTTCACGCCAAAACTACCGAAGCGATTTTAATGAAATTTGGCACACAGATAGTCTAGGGCCTGAGAAAGAACATGAGCTGTTTTTTAATTGGAAAAATGTATATATAGTTAATGTTTAAAAATATATATATAGTTTTTAAAGCAAGATATTTATTTAACGCCTTCCACGCGAGCGAAGCCGCGGGCGAAAAGCTAGTATTGCATATATGACGTCACACGGCTAGGCAAGAGTGCAAAATGACGAAGACACCTACGTCCTTCAGCAATTCCACGTCATTCGGCAGCTCTTGGAATTGGGCGAGTTTTATCTCGAACTCCGATATCGTCTGATTGTTCTCCTCCATGCTGTTCACCACGATCTCGACGAACTTCAACCTGAAAATGAAACACTAGATTAAATACGCAATGAAATCTTCGATATTATGGTATATCAACATTGTACGTTAGTATATATAGTATCATAACAATATAAAATATATAAGCGGTATAATCTGCAGCTAGTAACAAGAGGGCTGGTTCTTTTCTCGCACAGGGATTAAGCGTAACTAAATTAATTAAGCGTAAAAAAATTAAATTAGTAGTTTATTAACATTCAAAAATAAAAATATTACTCAGTCCACTCTTGAAACCCCCCTCCCAAACAGCAAAAGTGTAACCGGTTTAATATAAATTAAACCGGTTTTTTTTAAATCAATTTTATCGATATGTAAGCATAGATAATGTACATATTTGTGTCTCATCTCTAAGGTACCCATATTAGTAGAATTTATTAAAGGTAGCAAACGTGTGCAGGTTGTATTTCGACACCAAGCCTTGTGGTTACGCAGTGAACCATACCAGATCAATACGTGTAAAATATGATAACTAAATAATATCTAAGACCTATGTCTTCCGAAGTATTCAATACAACACTCACTTCTTTAAAAAAAACTCTTTTCACAAGACGTAAGAATGCGCAAATTGTAAAGATTGTTATTAAATATCGAATCTAATATTTACAAGATTAAATCTATCTAAAATTACATATAATCTAATAAACCTGATCCACGCGGCATGGTGCCAATATCGAATTAACGAAAACATTTTAAAATTCGCAAAAAAAAAAACAAAAAGAATAAAAATCAAAGCTAGTTTTGGAGACTAAGAAGAATTTCGTACGGCTACTTGCAGACGAGAATTGTAGAAATATGGCCCACCTTTCGACGAACAGCTGGCTCTTGGACTGCATGTCGTTCCATTTGCCCATGACCTTGTCCAGGCTCTTCTTCATAGCCGGGGTCTTAAGGGCGATGCCTGCAACAAGACGTTTATAAATCAATAACTGATCATCATCAAACTAGTACGATCTGCTTATAAGAATTAGCCATTCGGAATCCAGGGACTAAATATATTATCCCATCATTTATTGCTAACAATAACATTATCGACAATACTCAAGTGTACTTGTGCTATACTGTAAAAAGGCGTAATAGCTCAGTGTACGAACGCTTGTTTAAATTTAAATTCAAATACCTTTATTCAGTAAAGAAGCATTACTTACTGATTGACTGTTGACAATCAACACTACTATTGGGTCGCAAAAGAAAGAAATTAATTCGATATATAGAACAGATAGGCGTGGGCCTACCGGAGTAACTAGTAGTAGAGTTTAAATAAACATCTATAACTTTCAAGTGTGAAGTCTGGAGTATAGTTTTACCTCTAAACGTGTTCTGTACTTCTTCTACATCGCTTGACAGTGTGTGCAGGCTGGTCTCCCAGTCTTTATGTTGGAGCACCAGATGTTCCAGAGAGTCCAGGTCCCGTGGAATGTGGCTCGCGATGCGCTCGTGCAGCTGCCTCTCCAGCACCTCCAGCCTTTCCAGCAGGCTGGAGGACTGCTCCGTGAAGATACGAGCAGCATTCTTGGATTCCTCTGCAAAGAATAACACAGAAGAAATGAATAAACGCATCTCTTGCATACTATGAAACAAATAATGGGTTTACAATGAGAAAGAGAGTAATAGAGTTTTAATTAAAACATAGCACCAGCTACGTGTGATTGTATTAGACTAAGTTAATAAAATAAACATTTTTGTATTTTTTTTAAAAAACAAATATTATAAAGAAAAAAAAAAGGAGATCGTTCTTTAGATTGTTTGGTGCTGGAATAATTTCAGAGACCACCACTCAATAATGCAAATCGAAACAAAAAATATACGAAATAAGGCTAAAAACAAAGTTTAAATTATTACTTAACACTATTTCTTTTGGAATAACCTAAAACAAACGGTGTGTATAAAGCGCAGAAACAAATCATATTTGTCGATTTAAATGTACCTAAATACTCAATTAAAATGTTTCATATAATATATGGAAGCGTATATAGTTATATACTGTAATAGCAAAAATTTTGTTAACAAATAAATCTATGTGAGATATCAACACAAAAGATTTCGTAGAGTGGAGACAAGCGGAAGTTATTTTTAACGGTTAACACATGCACCGACAAATCTTGTTACAGTACAATGAGGGCAAATTTGGTTTAAAATTGTTCCCCTCGAGTCCATTTTGCATGTGCTATTCACTGTGTTATTTACATCTTAAAATAACTTACGACTGAAAGCATTAAAAACTCATTTAACTCCCGCAACAGAGCTAAACGATCCACTAAAAATTTCACGCTATCACAACCTGAGAGCCGCACCTCGAGCCAAATCCTCTCAATGGTCCGCTTCCTATACACGAGGATTGAGTTTTTAGGCATTTACACTGCGTTGAAACGTATCAGACCGACACGCAAGCCTCACGCGATCAGATAGCTGGACTGAAACACTTGACTTGACCGCATGGTATTGTCACAGAGTAATTTCAAGCGGCGGCGTCAAGTTTTAGACTGCACGAACGCCGCGGCGTCTATTGGGCGAGAGCAAAAAACTGGGACGATAATCGACTTTTGCTCCGTCCGACATTGACATTGGCCGAATTGGAAGGCCACCGGATAGTCTGAGGACATATTGCCTATTTAAAATGGTTGAATAGAAAAATAAATCAATCCATCCCACGCAGAAAGAAAGGGTGATGATATAAATATTCAATAGTACAGGTAATAAAGTTAACGACAAAATACTTATAAGTGAAGATTTTAGGCCATTGTCAGGATTTATTCGTCACGATTGTATCGTCAATATTAGGTGTATTCAAAGCAGTATTTTATAATAGGTAAATAAGAAGTTTCGAAATCTGTTGTCATTGTGGCAAGAAATAACAGGATAGATGCAAGAATCTCTCTGATCAAATTGAAAGAAGTTTATCAAACGGAGGATAATAATTTAGTTGACACCTAATTAAGTAGGTGTTTAAGCTTAAAGATATTAAAACAACACTTTTGAGATAAACGGCAACAAGATGTTACACGGAACAAATATTGCACTAAAGCCTAAGAAGATCCGAAAAATTATTGAATAAAAACGAGGCGCAAGGGAATTGTAGCAAAAATTTTATATTGCAAAACAAAACGGAGTTAAACTAAAACTTCGTTTATAGGCTGATATTTTCAGACTGTGGCAAACCACCCACTCCGAGACTTGCTTTATTAGAAATTGCAACGATAACTGTACCAATCTGTGGCTGGAGGTGCCAAGGCCAATGGAACTGAACGGTACCGGCGAAAAAATTGGCATGACATCATATTTTAGGCGTCGCGAAACATAAATATAATTATATCGACCGCTCTTAGGGTCACTGCGGTGGAGCAATCAATGAGGTCAATCTTATCGTATATTGTACTACCGACTCGCCCCGGCTTCGCACGGCTGCAATGTGTTATACATATAAATCTTCCTCTTGAATCACTCTATCTAGTAAAAAAACGCATCAAGATCCGTTGCGTAGTTTTAAAGATCTAAGCATACATAGGGATAGACAGATAGCGGGACGACTTTGTTTTATACTTTGTGGCGACGACGAGATCTCATTGGTCTAGGTTGCTTGTAGAAATTCACTTTAGAAATTTCCCCAGCAGCGAAGACATTTTACGAACTTGGCGCAGATCAGATCACATTAACGCATGAGACTAATTCGAAAAAATTTTAAGTTGGGGCCTTTGTAGTGGTTAATCTTGTTTAAAATAAACATACAAATGATAAGATGAGTCTAAAATTATTGTAGAACTAGATTATATAAAGAACTGATAATAGTAAAAAAACCGCAGTTCTTTGCGTATTTAGATTTATAGTTCCCCTTTTTTCAATCTATATTATCGTATCAACCTAGTAAGTAAGGTGGTGGCTACTGAATTCCGATTCACAGCTAAGACAAAATGTTATTTTATTATTATTAAATCTTATCATTTAAACGAGTAATTCTTGTACATATATATATATAGTACCCGGAGGACCGGTTTGTTTTTTTTTGGTAAATCGTGTATTTTGGAAATTACATTTAGATACAAATTACTGAGTAATGAAATATGCATAATATTTTTCGATCTTACCGACGTAATAATAAGAAAATATGAACTGATGTTTTTCACAAAAGAAAGAACTTTAAAAAAAAGGGAAAAAGAATAACAAAATAACAAATGGACAAAAAATTAAAAATAAAGAAAGCAATGATCTGGAATCGAAAAAAAGTAAAAAAAATAAATGTGTAAATGATCGTGACGCGAACCACGGCCGTCTGACTATTATGACATTTTCTCTGGCGGCAAAATTTACCGTCATATTCGAATTATATTTTTCATTCCCTGAAAACAGGGATAAAAGGACATTTTCTAAAAATGAAACCTAGCCAGATCGATTTTTCGCCCCCGAATCTACGCACATACTAAATGTTATGTAAATCGTTGGAGCCGTTTCCGAGATTCCGATTATACAGCGTGTCGTTACCATCACGACAATAAATGAACACACGTCTAACGCTACTTGCCAATAATCATAAAAAATATTAACGTTAAACAAAATCCATAATTAAAAAAAAAAATTTTTTTCAAACAAACTAATTAAGTAAAAAGGAAACAAAATTTGTAACATCCTATACAACTCGCGCCACAGCGTCGTATTACAAGCCTCTCCTTCTAACAGTATGTTTTGTCTCTATTAAATTCATTCAACCCATTCATATGCTTTGTGACCTTGACAAATGAACTTTACGGTACGCTTTTATAGGTAAGGATGTTCTAAAATTCTTTGTTTTGGAAAATGTAATAACTCTGTAAATATTGATGTTTAAAGAATTTAAATGTTTAATACAACTTTAAAAAGTTATGCCCTATATGTGTGTTGAAAACGCATGTTTTATAAAGCAATTATGTAATCATTATTAGCTCACAAAAGGGATTGACTCATACTCATTAAGATCCAATCCCAGCGCGAAGTTCAGGCGTGTCTTAAAAATCCCACATATTGCTACATCAGTAACTCGAAATGTTCTTGGAGATGGTTGAATTGAGCGAACAGCAAATAACCGCGGCTCAGGGCCAGGCCCAGGAGAATGGCGTCATAGATAAAGTGTAACTAAAGCAGGAACGCCGTAGACGACCAAGGCTTGGTTCGGGAATACTAATATACGGCCGGCTTCTATATTCAATATGTATATTAGGTCACTGAAGATAGAATTTTGACGTAAGTATTATGGAGATAATGTTATATACCAATTGCTACTAACCAATCTGTCAATAAAATCTGTACAATACTTTTGTTTGAGTGTGTAGACAAGAAATCATTATAGTGATGAGATTAGTTATGACAGATGGACGTAGGGAATTTGATGATTCACGGTTTTATTACGATTTTCAGATTTTTTAACTGGAGAAATCACTGCCGCTTAGCAATGGGATTTAAGAAGGAACGAGAAAAATAGATATTGAAAGCTGTGTCCGTCTAACCTGTTAGAAATCAGCGGCCAAAAGATGCTCAAAATAAAGAACTCAATTAAACGAAAAAATAATCTAAGCACACTGAAGAAAAATTCAAATAGAAAAACGTCGGGAATTTTATACTGGGGGGATGTGTCTGTCCAGCAATGGGCTAAAACAGGGTGAAATGATGATGATGATTGTACGTGTTAAAATAATTCCGTAACGTCTAATGTACCAATTCAGGAGTGAAGTTAGGGTTGTAACACATCACAATGGTGAAGCTCTGCGTGCAGAATTTACGACAAGTCTGGACCATGAATAAATTGCGGTGTAAAGTTTATCTGTTGCCCTACAATCAACGCTTATTGCGAGGTCGAAATGTTAAATACAAATTTAGCTCCGCGTAAGTCACTTGCATACATTGATTTATTGTTATGATACAGAGTATAAATAAATATACTTATCTGTATTATTATTGAGACATAATAAATATGTCATACATTTAGCTCCTCATATGCAATAAGTAATGTTTCCTCTATACGCTATATGTGTATATATGTGTATTGTTGATTTCATTAATCACACTTTCGATTGACCAATAAAATTAACATTGTACACTTTATCCCGTTTAATTTACGTATTGGGACAAATTGGATCAAATCAAATCAACAAAAATATGTATAAACGGCGGTTTAAGTATGTACGTACCTTTTGTTTGATATTAAAATGAACTTTTTACGGTGGTAGGGCCACGCAGCAGCCTCGGCTGTTGCACGAATGGGCAGGCCCGTCCGGGTAAGTACCACGACCTCACAGAAGACCGGCGTAAAGTGGAAGTATGACAAATACTTTCGCGTTTCGTCTGGTGAGTGAGGTAGCCGGAACCCAATTTCCAAAAGGTTGTCAACGCATCTGTAACTCTCGAGTGTAGCAGATGTCCATGGGCGGCGGTATTCACTTAACATCAGGTGAACCGTCTGCTCGTTTGACAACTTTTCGCATAAAAAAAAAAAAAACTACAATATACTGTGTGAACATTTTACATGGTAGTGTATGTAATGTTTTCTATATTGATTTAATGTATTTTTAAGCATAATTAAAAAAAATATTAGCATTCTGCACTCCTCTATATAAACTATAAGTGTGGGAAATTTCATACTCCCCCGTCCGCGCAATTTTCTTATAAAATGGTACAGTTTTTGCTTCACGTATTAATATATAGATGTTACGAATAATTTCTATATGGAGCTGAATATAATGCGGAATGTCGGTTTTGAATCACAATTCGTAGAAGCAACACTCACCGCCTTTAGCCGACGAAAAGATTCGCTTTATTTTCTTCATCGCTGCCAAGCACAACACAACTCTTTTCCAAGCAAGTAAGACATAAACTCGGCCACCAGACGAGTTCAAAGTTTGTTTATATAGCGAATTCGGTTTGCTTTCAAAATAGAGATTCTAGCGTCGGTCATTACGCTAAAATGGTACGCATTAATACTTATAGATTTTCATAGATCGTACAGAAGACCAATATATATTTATTTTTAACAGGTAATACCTTAAAATTAGCACATAGACCATAGTAAACATAAGAAAGTAATAAACGGAATTTACGAAAATTGTATAGAAATTAAAACGGATTCGTCTCAACAATACTGTCAATAATCGAATGATTTTAAAAACAATAATAATCAGAATTTATCGTGCTTTATTTTCATTTTAAAACACAACTTTTTTTTTTAAATAAAACAATGCCCCTAATGTAAGATACTATTATCCTGTGTTGTGAGGACGATTTACAAACATTCATTCACACGGACAAACACCTAGATCCAAGACAATTATCTGTGGGTCACACAACTCATACACATAGTTGTCCCGTGTGGGAATCGAACCCACGACCCCCGCCGCCGAGGTCAATACCTTGACAACTGCACCACGGAATCATCAAATGCCTACGTTTAGAATGCTTAGCAGCTTCATGGACAGGGGCTGGACTGAGATGTCAGGTCCCGGTGTCATTGCTAACTGGGGCTGCCGTCAGCTTGAAAATAATTCTATTCGAATTCACTTAGCAAAAGCTAACAGGGCCTAAATCAAATTATTTTAAAACAAAAATCAGCCGAGATAAAATCCGTAAATTAGTTTTATTACTATGTCTTACACTCGCGTCAGCAGTTCGTTCTGTACGTTTACGCGGGAAAAGTTAAACGCGGGAAAAGTATTAAAGCGTGCTCTGGCGATTTCGATACGAACGTACGCGCGCGATGCCGCCTACCGACGACTAATTGTGAGACGACGGATGGTCCCTCAGGACGAATTCTTTATTAATACGCCCGAAGGGCGGGACAAGGAGTTTCATTCTTGACGCACAAAATCCCTTAGTAAAAAGTTTTTGTCTTTCAGTTTTTGTCAAAATCTGAGGAGGTTACGTAGATTTATCTGAATTGTTACGTGTAACATTATGAAATCAAGATATAACGGTTATTTTATTTAATATCATGATGTTGGACTAGTTAATGGCTGGAAAAAGATGGAAGACCAGCGTAAAGTGGAAGTATGACAAATACTTTCGCGTTTCGTCTGGTGAGTGAGGTAGCCGGGGCCCAATTTTCAAAAGGTTGTCAACGCATCTGTAGCCCTCGGGTGTGGCAGATGTCCATGGGCGGCGGTATTCACTTAACATCAGGTAAACCACCTGCTCGTTTGAAAACTTTTCGCATAAAATAAAATAAAATAAAATAAATAAACGGTGAGTAATATAGATATTAAAGAATATAAAGTATCAAGAAACTCCAATCGTTGTAGCGAGGTAAGTGCATCGCCCACGCGGTACTTATCAATCTGTCATTGGACCTTAGGGTCTAGTTGAACAGAGGACAGACCAACAAACACAGCTACTGCTAAATTAAGACTTTAATTCATTAGGCAAGAATGAAGTTTACTATACACAGCCACATCGGCTCTAAAATAACGACACTTTTAAGAAAACGTATACATATTTAAATGACGTAACTATTATTAGACGCGAATAAAATTAAAAAAAAAATAATAATAACGAAAACGATAAAATTATTACGATAAAGTCCAAACACCGATATTTACTTTCATTATCAACTTATTAGATGACTTTGTTGGCCGAGTTTATTAGCCATTCGTTAAAGCGCCGTGGACAATCCGTGGGTTCGATTCTCACTTATAAATAAATAACACACTTGAAACACAGATAATAAAGCATCGATTTCCACACGAAACAACTATTTATATGCCCCACGGATAATTCTTTCCGATTTGAGCGTTAGTACACGAGAAATTTGTGTATTTTGAACGTCCTTACAACACAGAATAACGGTATCCTGTCGTATTAAGGGGCAATGTTCTTAAGGGAAGAATACAATAGGCTAGGTCGCAGTGGTCTTTGGTACTTACTACCCAAACCCTTCCAGACAAAATAAAAATATAAAATACAAAGTATGAATGGTTTAAACGTCCTAACAAACTACAGAAAGGGTAAAGTACTTTTGTCGCTTAGAACATCTGCAGACCATTTATCAAAGCCTACAATTTATCGTTATAAACTTGTCAATACAATTTCCCACATTGACCTCCATTCCAATGACCTTACGTTTTTAAAATCGTTTAAAACGATCGAGGAACACACTAAAAATCGTCGAACGAGGTCGTACGACCATGTGTTTCGTTAAGACCGCAATCTTTCAATTAGGTCAAACGAAATGATCGTTAGTTTGTATTTCGTCAATCTCCCGTTTTTTTTCCCCAATCAGTCCTTTTTCAATCGCGTGACAGAAAGTACCACAAATCTAATATCATCATTGTCATCCTCCTGCCCTTATCCCCCAGCTAGGGGCGTTCCGCACATAATGTGAATCTTGTTATCAGAGGTTTTTTTACGATAGGCCGCCTGCCTCAAACCTCCTTGGAAACAAACACCCCGATCTGGAACAATTATCTGTGGGTCACACAAGCACTTGTCCCGTGTGAGAATCGAACCCAATACCCGCGGCGTCGAAACCATAACTTAGCAAGTGCGCCACCGAGCCATCCCAGATAGAAAAATCAAGGACAAAATTTGAGTAATACCTTCGTTTAAACATTCGTTTTGTGTTAGTAATTTATAGAAACATTAAACTGTTTTTATGAACAGATAGATAATAGGAAAATAATCGATTAAGTGATATTCATCACACATATTGATGACTCCGTGGCGCAGTTGCCAAGTTATTGGCTTCGGCGTCGGGGGTCGTGGGTTCGATTCCCACACGGGACAACTATTTGTGCGACCCACAAACGTGTTTGTCCTCGTGTAATTTATGTGTGTAAAACGTCCTTACAACACAGGATAATGTTATCCTAAAGTGAGGGCATTATTAAAAAAAATATATTTCATTGATACAACCTTCCGCCATTCACCGATGCACCGTTCCAAGGGAATAGTTCACAGCGAAATCGCGAACGTGTCATCGCTTACGTCATGGAAGAATCCGGAAAGTTGTAGGTAAAGATAATTAAAAATCTAGCCAAGTGCGAGTCGGACTCGCGCATGAAGGGTTCCGTACCATTATTTACAAAAACGGCAAAAAAAAATCATGTCTCCTGTATGGGAGCCCCACTTAAATATTTTTTATTCCGTTTTTTAGTATTTGTTGTTATAGTGGCAGCAGAAATACATCATCTGTGAAAATTTCAACTGTCCAACTATCACGGTTCATGAGATACAGCCTGGTGACAGACAAACAGACAGACAGCCTTAGCAATAGCGTCCCATTTTACCCTTTGGGTACGGAACCCTAAAAAAGTAACAAGACAAGACTTGACTTATGACTTTTAAAGTGCTAAGATTGTTACAGTGACAATTTTAAATGGCACGAGATTGTTTCTAAGAAATCATAGGATTGTTAACTACTTGTTAGAGCGTAGGTTATAAGTCCTGATAAGTGAGGACGCCTATCTTCTATCAGGCTACGACATTCACCGAGCTAGCCGACTAATGCCCGGTTCCTATATTCAACGAACGGCCGTTACTTACATAGATTCGTAACTTTCATAAGGACTTGTAGATAAAAAGTGTGTACGCACGGTTCCTATATTAATAAAACGAGGCGTTTTCCTTACGAGCCGTTGCATAAACTACGGAACGTGAGTTACTAGCGTTCCTTTAATCTACAAGTCGTTATGAAAGTTGCGAAGCTATGTAACTAACGGCCGTTCGTTGAATATAGGAACCGGGCATTAGATAACTTCCGCTTTTAAACCACAGACTACACAAAGCATCATCTGTCATTTGTGAGGCTGTTTATCCACGAGTTTTACACTGAAAGTGTCGACGGCTGTCTTTTATTAGACCATGGCATTCACCGAGCTAGCCATGTTCGACAGTTCGACCATAGACTATACAAAGCTCCATTCCATAATTGTGAGGCTGCGTATCCGCGAGTTTCATACTGAAAGAGGCCGCTGCTCTACCGCTCTCACCTTCGGCCCTCGCGCGCCGCTCGAACTCGTCGAAGAGGCGGTTCACGTCGTCGATCTCCCGCCGCAGCCGCCGCAGCTGCGGGTCGGCGGCGTCGCCCTCGCCCAGCAGCTTCTCCGCGTCCTCGTTCAGGGCGCGCCTTATCGCCTGCCGCTGCTCCGCGCCCATCGCCACGAACTGCGCACGGAATGGTTGCAGCGTTTTCACGCCGACTGTACTTGGCGTGCGACAGCTGAACTAGCATGTCAATAGCCACTGACTGCTCGGCGCCCATAGCCACGAATTACGCAGGAAATGGTTAGAACGTTTTCACGCCGACTGTACTTGGCGTGCGACAGCTGAACTAAGACATAAGTTGCCACGAACTGGACAGGAAATTATGGGAACGTTTTTACGTTGACTGTACTCGAAACACGCAGTGATGTCGCCGACTGTACTTAGCATACGAAAGCTAAACTAACATGTAAGTTGCCCCGAACTGGGCGCAGGAAATGGTGAGAACGTTTTAAAGACGACTGTACCCGAGGTAGGCACTGACGACGCCGACTGTACTTAGCGTACGGCAGCTATTATACTAACATGTTAATTCTACGAACTCGTTATCTATAATCTATCAACTCTTACGGAATTATTGAGCTTTACTCTCAATCAGTAATTATATAAGTCTATTGACTTATCACCACTTATTCATTATTTATTAAACATTCTTACAGGACTAAAATATCCCGTATAATGCATATATACAATACACTTTGATCTAAAAAATTCTAAGCAGGACATAGAAATACACATCCCATGGGGAATCGAACCCATAGCATTGTCTGTATGTTTCAATTTGGAAGCAATTCATGTAAAAATACATACATATAGTTTAGCTCCGAAACATAAGTTTTGCTGAGACCATGATAGATAGGCCGTGGAATGTGGCGCTATCTAATAGATAGGTCTAAATAACAAGTAATTTATCTTGTATTATTAACGGTCACTTACTTGGGGGAAGTCCCATCCTTTCACCACTTTGATGGTCGCGAAGATCATGTTCTGGCGCATGCGCAGCTGCTTCCTCTGCCACAGCTGGATCACCTTCAGGAGACAAAAAAGTATGAATACAAACGCGAAAACATCTTCGCCGATGTACAAAGACATTCGCATTATTGAGGACAGATTGACACTCTGTCGCAATATGGCATTAAATGTAAACAATAACAAGAAGTTATCGCATATAAGCGCGGTTATTTTAATAAGTTACGTTATTATATTACGGTCAATGGAATATGGAGTTTATAGATATAACCGTAAGAGTCTTTATTAAATAAACATTAGTGAGGTCTGTCATTGCCTGATTTCTAGTGGTAAATAATTATTTAATTACGTACGATAGTCTACTAGTTTATTTATTACATCCACGATGAGAATTTAAGTAAGACAATATGACAAATATTACGTATGTATTCTAAAAGAAAACTTGATTGATTAAACTACTGCAATCGATAATGCTATGACACGAAATACGAGTAATATGGTTTTACAGTACATGTAACCAGCCTCTCGTCGCGACAGTACTTCGGCTTGTGAGTGAGCCAGTACTTTACTTTAGCATAGCTTTAAAAGTAGCACTTGTGAGCGCCCCAGTAATTTAGTTTTGCGTGTATAGTTGTACACGTATCCGGTTATAGACCGCACGTCGGGCGTCCACGGCGTACAGCGCATCCTCGTGTCAATATTTCGATTTTTAAGTTTCTGAGCTACCTTGTGAGCGCGCCAGTACTTCAACGTTCACGTGCGTGTACAGTCGTGCACATACCCGCTTGAATGCCGCGCGCAGAGCGTCCGCGACGTGCAGAGCGTTAGCGCATGTTCGTCACAGTACCTTGGGCTTTAATATTGCCGCTTGTGAGCGCGCCAGTACTTCAGCGTTCAAGTGCGTGTACAGTAGTGCACTTACCCGGTCGAAGGCCACGCGCAGTGCATAGGCGGAGCGTATTCGCCACAGTAATTCGGCTTTACTAGTGCCTGGGCTACCTAGTACCTTGTAAGCTCGTCAGTACTTTACTGTTCGCGTGCGTGTACAGTCGTGCACATACCCGCTTGAATGACGCGCGCAGGGCTTCCGCGGCGTGCAGCGCATATTCGCAACAGTACTTCGGCTTTAATAGTACCGCTTGTGAGCGCGTCAGTACTTCAGTGTTCGCGTGTGTGTACAGTCGCGCACTTACCCGGTCGTAGGCCGCGCGCAGGGCGTCCGCGGCGTGCAGCGCGTCGGCGCAGGGCGGCGGCAGCGCCAGCACGGCGGCCGGCAGCGCGGTCTCGGTGCCCGCCCCGCCCACTCGCACGCGCCACCGCACGCGCCCCGAGTTGTCCACCACGCTCACCGTGGACCCCTTCTCCACCGCCACCTGGGTGAGACACAAAAACAACTGTTATTATATTATACAGGTCTGGCAGCTCAGCGTCGTTAGACTCGCCGACTTCGATCGGAGCCGATTCGACACAACAAAGATGGCGCACGACTTAAATCGACGTAACTAGTCACGTACGCTTAAATTACTTTACACGCGTAATTGTTAGGTACATTAAAAGTTAATTCTTTATTCATTCTGTACCTCGGGGGTGAACAGCATTATGCGACAAAGAACAAATTTTACAGGAGACGCAAAAATGCGTGGAGTGAATCAATGATTGCATTATTGACTACAATATCACATACGATTTGACATTTCATTAATTAGGCGTCGTGGGACTTGATGCTTTATATTGTGTAGAATTTGTTCTTGCGACGTTTATGACGTAAGAAAGCCTCTGGGGTGCAGCGTTGTTCATGAACAAAGGACGATTAGCTCACGTTCGCGTGCTTGTACGCGCAGACGGTCTCGGCGCGCAGCGGGCGGGTGACGGGCGCGCGCCTGAGGCGCACGGGGCGCACCAGCTGCGCGTCCTCCACCAGCCGCGCCACCAGCGCCCCCTGCCCGTTCAGCTCCTCGCGCAGCTCCTGCATGCCCCGCAGCAGCCGCTCGCCCTGGTCCAGCGTGAACTCCGACTGGGAGAACGTCGAGTTCAGCGCCTCCTCGCGCCTGCGGGGCGGGATTTCCCGATGGTTATTCGTTGCACGATCAGTCTTGCCTCCACATTTATCGTGGTGACAGTCACGATAGCGCGTAGTTGACAAAAGATGTTTTTTTTTCGTTTACAAATTCATTTAAAAAAAATGGAGACTTTAGTACTGAAGGCCGGATTGGAAAATATTTCTGCTACAATGTTCGCTGGTATCTAAATATTATAATAGAGATGATTGACTTGTCAATCATTCAACGTCTACTTTCTAGTGATTAAAATTACACTTACTTTTGAATCCATTTCTCGGCTTCCTTCACCTCTTCGAAAAAGTTATGGTACTGAGTTGTATGCTTCAGATGTGTTTCCAGACATAACGTCAGTTGTAGAACCCACGCCCATTGCGATTGCATCACCTGATACAAATACGTGAATATAATGAAATACTATTTATGAATCATTTATTGAAACCTAAAAGGTACCGAATTTATCTGCCTCCAAAGACCAAACACAATATAAGGCTTTAGAATATAAATGGCTACGTAGGCCTTGCTGCTTTTGGCAGGAATCCAACAAGTTCATCCAGCGAAATATCATGACGTCAGAGAAGATCGAGTAAAAGTATATATTTGTAGTTTGAATTTTTTTGCATTTCATCTGGTGAGTCTGGTAAATTCTTGTGATTGTCCGTAGACGACGATAACTTAAAGATAAACCGCACCAGGTGAATCATCTATTCACCTTTGCCCAAAACAAGTTAGAGTAAATCATTGTACCTGAAGGTGAGATTCGATAGTTTTCGTGGCTGGGTGGTGTTGAGCTATCAGGGCCTCTCCGCGATCGATCACATTGCTGAACTGTAACTCTCTCTTCTCCAGGGAAGACATCAGTTGCTGCGCAAAAACGACAACATCAGAGTGGATATTCATAACAGCTCTAAGAACAATAAAGCGGTCGTAAATAAAAATGGCAACAGAGGTGACGTTAAAGAAACCAAATATCGGTGTAAAACAACGTGAAACAAACCTCGCTATCGTCCCCAAACGAATGCTTGCGTAGAAAAGAAAGGAAACAAGGTTAAAAATCAACAAATAAACACGACAACGACAGTGGCGACGGTACATACATATGATTGGCGTGTGCGAATGAGCGTTTGTATATACAAGGGGGACATGAACGTGACTGATTTTAAATTTAGGTGAAAACTAGCACATAGATAACTTCAGGGACTAAGCACACTATTAAGATCTAGTTTGCTATTTCTATAAAACTATCTATTTTCTATCTCAGTGCCTAATGATGTGAGATAATATTTTCCTTGGGAGAAAACTTAATCAAAATTGAGATGAAAATTTACCTTTGAGTGGAACTGGTCGATTTGTTTATGCTCCCTCTGGTGTTTATCGAGCTCTTGTTGCACGGTGGGTAGGTCGGAGCCATAGTCCGATTCGTGCAGTTTTTTCTGCGGGAAGACAAATTCAAATTGACTTGGAACCAAAATGTTTGAGTAATAAGATACAATTTGTTTCATTATTGATTCGGAAAATATATCATAGCACTTATATAAAATGGTTCGTAGATTTACACATGCCAATTGGCAGTCTGTGGAGGAGTTCTATGTTCTGCAGTGGACTCTAACAGAATGAAATGAATGAATGAATGAATTGGGAACAAAGTTAGTAGAATAGTGTAATATTGATGATGCGGTGGCGCCGTTGCCAAGCTATTGGCTTCGGTGTCGGGGTTAGTGGGTTCGATTCCCGCAAGGGACAAGTATTTGTGATGCCCACAGATAATTGTTCCGGACGTGAGTGTTTGTTTTACAAGGCTTGTGACGTTAGGTGGGCGCGGGTGGTCCTTAAAAAAATATAGCTAAAACCGCTTGCAACATGATACACACGTTGTGCCGACACCACCTAGGCAGGATAAGGGCAGGAGGGCGATGAGAAGTGTTTGAGTGGGTGCGTCGTGGACCATGGTCTAAAACTGGCAAAAGTGGTATTCTCACGGGGGTGATGAGAAGCGTTTAAGAAGGTGGGATCCGCATCGTGGACCCTGGTCTAAATTTGCCAAAAGCGTTATTCTCACCAGGCGCTCCTTGCACCACTTGGTGGCGGCGTGCAGCTGCTGGAAGGAGGGGTCCGCGTCGTGCACCCTGGTCTCCAGCACGGTGCGCGTCTCCCGTCGCACGGTGGTCTGCTGCACCGGCATGCGCACCGACGGCAGCCGCGCCACCAGCCGCCCCGTGAACGCCTGCCGCGCGCTCAGCCAGCGCTCGTGCAGCTGCTGCACCCTGGATGGGGCACGACGGCATACTTGCTAATTGCTATGTGCTAGTCTTCGGGTAGTCGACGGTCAATGAGAGCTTATGCTGAATAAACAAATTTTGACTTTGAATGTTATCATGATTTCACATGCAACATTAGAGACAAATCCTAACGTCGGAAAGACCGATTACAACAACAACAATTAGAGCAGGACAGCAAGCAATTATGACTTCAGCGTGAACAACAGGCCTTATTTATCTGGGTCCAATAGACAAGCCCTGTGATACCGACGGCGGTAAAGTCCGATACTTGGGCGATATAATAATCTAGTCTGTGGTAGGGTACAGAACAACCGGCATTTAGTGGAAATATGATACTATCGCGTTTTGTCTGATGAGACGTAAACGGGGCTGCGGTATTCACTTAACATCAGCTGAACAAATAGCTCACCTGCAAAAATTCACATAAAAAAGCATAACGGACGACTGGAAGAACAGAAAGATCGTCTATAGTGGAGTTTTTGTTCACATGCAGGTTTGGAAAGAAGGAGGGAGGGGTTGAGGGGGTAGGGATCAAGAGAAAGGGGTGGTACCTTCGTAGCAGCTCAATGGCCTGCGGGTAGCGCCCGCTTGGAGAGAAGGGTAGGTAAGAGAGATCGAAGGGAGCTGGGTCGGTACCTCCGGTGCAGCTCGTTGGCCTGCGGGTAGCGGCCGTCGCGCAGTGCGTGGCAGTCGTGCGCCATCTCCTGCAGCGCGTGCTCCATCGCGCGCAGCTCCTGCTCGATCTGCTCGGCCGCCTGCTTCGCCTCGGCGGGGTGCACGCCGCGCTCCACGCGGCGCACCTCGCCCTCGATGCGCCGCTCCACCGCCTCCAGCCCGGACTCGGTCTGCTTTATGTCCCTGGTGTGGGCGCCGCGTACGTTTATACATATTATACATATATTATATCTGTGTATATATAATGGTATTATTATAAGCAATAGACGGTTGCATAGTATACGCCATTGTGTGTATTTGTCATCGAGACTCGTTGAAAAGCGTTTAGCTTGCTATTTTCGGAACTCTTCATGGCCAACGTTTTGTTTAAATCATCTATGCAAATATTAAAATTTCAAATGTTATAGACTAAATTTTATCACTTGATCTAATACAAAGTTGACATTCAATCAGTCGGCAGAACCAAGCATAAATTTTTTTGGAAACTAAACATACGGTCCTTAGCTTGTAGATAAATTTTGGATCGGCCTATATCCAGTTTCACCTTTTCTGTTTCTCAATAAACAAGATCAGCAACGTCCCCACAAGCGTAATGCGCTTACCCCTCCATAATTGTACAGCGTGCACAGTTGAGACCAGTTCGCCACCCACCTGTGTAGCTTTTCCGCCAAGCGCTGCAGCCGCTCCAGGCGCCTAATCTCGTCTGCGAGGTCTCGCTCGCGCTCCTGCTGCGCCATTAGCAGTCGCGCCCACGCTTGCTCTAGTGCCTCGGGCCGAAGAGTCGGCTCGACTTCGCACTCGCCCACCGACTCGAAGTATTTCTGAAAGCATTAGCGACGTTTATTCCCAGTCCAATTCATAAGAGGAAGCGGTTTCCGTATATTTCGGGCGAGTGCAAACATTAATGCGCACCCCAATTCATAAGAGGAAGCGGTTTCCATTATGGATTTATAGCACGAATTGTTTCTATCTACATATTACATAAAACAAACCGACTTTAATCAGAAAATTAAAACATTGTTAATAACATTCAATGATGGCCCTCGATTTCTTGTGGATGCCATCATCAGGTCCGGATTTCATATCATGGTACCACCCTTGGGATATCTCCTTTCCGACAAAAAGAGAATCATCAAAATCTGTTCATAAACGACGGAGTTATCCACGAACATACATAAAAAATAAAAATATATACGGTCGAATTGACAAACCTCCTCCCTTTTTGAAGTCGGTTAAAACGATACTAAACCGTAGCATAAACTTAACTAAAATTTAAATACATCTCAGAATAATTATATATAGAAGACGTTAAAACATTTAGAAGAAATAAAGAAGGGATTAATTTTATTTCTGGGGGGTTCCATCGTGGAGGGGGCTTGGATTTTGAACAGACGAAAGAAACTTGAATGGTACCTCCAACTCGCGGTACTGATGGAAGAGTTTCTGCTTCTCCCTCTGGCGGAGCGGCACCTCCTCGTTGCGGAAGCGCGTGCTCTCGCTGAGCAGCTTTTTCATCTCGATCAAAGTTGACGGGAAAGCACGGTCCTAGAAGTATATTAACTTAAGATAAAACTGTTTTTTACTTACCTGCGTTGCCAACCTTTAAGAAGCGTGCACTTAGCGGAAGACCCATTTAGGTGCAGATATCTTACACCGGTCTTCTTGAAGCAAACACAAAGCGATATACATATATATACAAAAGTGATTTAGAATAGTTTTTAGCTTCTTATTATTTAATCCGGAACGAAGGACCAACTTATAACACGTTTATAGCCTCGTTTAATCTTGTTTCAACGATGTATAATGCCATAACTCCGTCCGCCCGTCACACCGCAGCAGCCTCACCTGCATGAGGGAGCATTTCTCGTGCAACCAGGCGCGGTGCTGCGCCGCCTGCTCGGTGTACGCGGCGGCCCGGCGCTGCGACTCCGCGTCGAATAGGGGATGAACCGCCGGCGGCTCGGGGAAAGTCTCGTACAGCGATGAAATGTACGTGATGAGGGATTTCTCGTCTGGTTCGTGGGTGTCGACATCTGGAACAACACAATTGGGCTGATATCTACTTGGAAAACGTGGCGGCGTCTTCGACTTAGATCTGGGACGAATATGAGTTTCGTTGGGTTGATATCTACCCGGAAAAGGTAGTATCGGCTTTGATCTAGTACGAATAGAGTTTCAGGAGTATAGTCCATTAAGTTTTTGTTTTTCGTTTCGTCAAAAAATAAATGTCAAACGGCCAAGCAAGCAAGTAGTATCTGTTACGTACAGTGCAAATTTAGCCTAGAGCACAAACACTCTCCTATAATTTTACGGGTTTGTTTGCCAGATAATTGCATCGTGAATTATGCTTTCTCGCTTAGGCAATGACGTAGGCTGTACTTATTCTGTGTCAGCTACATACGACGTAACAGCAAAACACACTCCCATCACCTCCCTAACTGCACATCAAATCGCATTCCGCGCGATTCCGCTGCATTGTCGCTTATCGACGATCGCATCTCAGCTCGCCCCTTTCCGACTCAAGTGATTATTCACGCCAGCTTTGAACGCGGAGTATATACTTATATAAAATATATATACTTATATGAGAGAGAGAGGAACCACTACTAGTAATAAAAATGATTATTTAAATATATCGTTTGTACTGTGTCTTAACACAGAGATAGATATGAAACCAACCTCCAGTAATATAATGGAACTTTAAGAAGTGATATTACATTGGTAACTATGTTTATTTTTGTTATTAAAACAATACATTATTATATAAAATACATAATTACTATAAGGAATATATTGTTGATACACGGTCGTTTCAAAACAACGGATGGTTTTAGCTAAGTCTTTTAAGACTGGCCACCCGCCTGACGTCACCTCTTTCTAGGAATATAAGCTCAGATCCGGAACAATTATCACTCAGTCACACAAATACGTGTCCCGTGTGGTATTCGAACCCACAACCCCCGGCGCCAAAGCCAATGGCTTACCAGCTGCGCCACTGAATCAATAAACTGATAGTGTCAAGAAATGAAGTATATCTGAATCCAAGCAAATGTATACCAAAGCATTTATTAACAGTTTCCAAAACACAAAGTGGTGAGATCACAACAAACAAATGTAGTATATATATCTTTAATCGCAGATCGATTTTGGTTCGGGTCTTTGCACATTCACAATTAGCTAAGCACAATGATGGGCCATAAATAATCCGGGCGTATAGCCCCAGGCAAAACAATGGCTCGTAAAGACAACTGCATCAGAGACGCGTACCTGTCTGCTGCTTTTATTAAGCAATTTAAAACAATCGACAGTTGGCACAGGTGTGGAACTGTCTGCGGTCTGGTAACTATTACGTTGATTACGTTTAGTGTTTTAACTTGGCCCAATTTTAATTTAAGACAGCTATTTTATATTGTATACAGTAAAAATGGGGCGCTAAATATTTAAAAAATAGTAAATGTCTATTTCAAGTATATATGTTCAGGGTGATCAATTAAATAATTGATAATTATTACATAATCAGTGTATATAAACCATAGTCTAGAAAGTCTAGATCATAAGTTTTAGTAAAAATAATGTAAATTATTTTCTACTTTGTAATCAGATTGTTAAAGTAACTTTATACCAAAAAAATATTATCATTGGTTGGTGCATAGCCGAAACCGAAACATTCCCCTGGGAATTTGAACAAGAATAGTGTCTTGTATACGTATAAACTCGTTATGTGAATAGCTTTAAAATCGTGATAAAACTAAAATTGCTTTTTGAAACGTTTCGTTCATTATACCATTATATAAATGATGAGGAGAATTTAAGATTGATGATAAGATAAAACTGTGGTTTTTAATTAGTTATAAACAATAGCTACCTGTCCGGAGTAATTATTAGATTTAAAATTATGATATAGTGCGATAATATGATCACACAACACGGTCTTATAACCATTTTGTGTTCATATAATATTACACCTTCGCGTAGGCGATGCTATAACTTATAATAGTTACCATAAAATATGTTCAATATCCTAAGTATTCATATAACTTATGCTCTTTACAAGAGTACAGTCATATGCTTTTCTCCAGAGATTTAAAATATTTTATTATTGCTTAGTGTGATATTGATATGATCTGTTTTCAATATGATTTTTAAGATATTGACTGATTTTTAAAGTAAGAACCTTTGAAGAAATACTCTAAATAGGTTCAAGATCGGAATAATAAAATGTCAACTAAAGCGAAGGTACGGTTTTCAATCTTTAACATTTGAAATCTGTAACAATCTTATTGCTTTTCGACCTCTTCCTCGCAAATCTTTCTCCTGACCCTAAGCCCGGTTTCTGAAACAACGATCATCGTAGAAGTCAACTAATCAGCTGTCAAATGGCTTTTCAAATGTTATTTAAGTTGCCAAAATGATTGTTAAACTCTCTGAATTTATCAGAATGATCTGCTTAATGATCAGAATGACTTATACGGTGATCAGTGTTTCAGAAACCGGGCGCAAGTATCCGATCGGAATCCAAGAAAGATAAATCAAGATTTTTTTACGTGATGTTTGTAAACAATTTCGTCAAAACATCGATACGCGTTTGGTGGAATTCTAAATAGTCGTGACGGACGACGTCGGCACGTTACGAGTTTCTCCGGCAATCGCTCGATCTACGTGAAAAAAATCGATACGCTCAATAAAACGCGATGATTCGCGCGTCGAATCGGATGAAACAATGGCTCCGTATCTCCGAGTAATTGATGCATGTCGAATAACAGGTGGGAAGCGAGGCTGTGCTTATCGCGCCAAGGAAATGATGGGTCGTACACAAGTCTATGATACTCTGATGGTCTGCAATCGTAAGGTGTGTCATTATTTTTATCATCGTCTCTGGTCGAATTTCATATATTATTGTGGATCAGATACCCTACTATTTGCACGAATATTGTTATATATTTTTCTTTTAACAGGACTCGCTTTTGATGATTGATCCAATATGATTTGATTTTGATGCAATGTTCGATAAAAAATGCATTTTAGTCTCGGTCTATATTTTTCGTTTATTTGTGTTTATTATCAAATCGAACGTTTCATTTGGTCTGTTTATTAAGTTTCCGTTATCAAATAACTCCATTTTCAATCGACGAAAATATTAGCATTTTCGCTTTGCCCTACCTATTTCGCTACCTATGGAGCTTTACATTATGTTGGCAACATTTAATATACCTCTATTTGATAATTGAGGAATGGTCCAAGAAGCGACAAATGAGGTGTTATGGATAGCCCATAACACCCCATAAAAGCTCATTATATATGTTTCAAGACAACTGAACCTTTTTGGGGTAAAATAAGTGCTTTATAGTCTTATCATCTCTAAGACTACCGCAAACATCCAATAACAAGATTTTTAAACATAAAATAAGAACAGATGTTTCAAATGACAAATATCGAAAGTAGTAAATACGTAGTTACCTAAATATGTTTGCGTATACATAAAAGTGACTTGAGTCAACGTCAGGTAGAAATGTTGAACAGATCGCTTCGCCTTTTTAAACTTAGTTAAACACGTTGCGAGTCGTCGTTTCGTAATAACAACAACCTCGAGCCCTTGCAAAATCACTTCCAACCAGTCTGGATATAATTGTGTCAAGTATTTTTTATTTGCCAATAAAATAAACTTTCCTCTACCAGTAAGGCTTTCGTAGACTCATAAAGTGTAATAAAGACAAACAGACTACAACATGTATTTAAGATTGCTAAATTGATAGCGTCAGTGATAATGACGGTGTAGTTTCCAATTAAACTAATGAAATGACGCTCCGAAGATGATGTTATCTCATATCGCCCCAAAAAAACCTTATAGAGGATTCGAATATTGAGGACGTACTCCAGTTAGTCTTCAGTCTTACTCTAGTCGTCAAACAGATGGCTAAGAATACTTTTTGTACATTTATCAAAACTTACCCTCAGGGTCTAACAATCTGGTTACTCCATACTCTTTCTCAACCACATGGAAGGCAGTTTCCAAGCGCTCGCGAACCTGCCTCGATCTATAAAAAAATTTATTTATTCACATCTTCTAATTATGGGGGAAATTTTTCGAAATGATATTTCAAAAAATGCCTATTAGCAAATATTCTTATACTTTTCTTTTAATTTTGGAACTTTTGTTATTTATAATATTTCAGTCACATTGAACCTTATACCATCTTAATTACTTATAACAGAATACATAAACATCTAATTAGGGTTAAGTAAAGTAACAGCCTACATGTCCCACAGGACTAATGATAAAATATTAAAAGGAAGTATACCGAATAAATTTTGAAATTTGCATCGAAGCAGTATTCATTCAGATCGTTTAAATGTTAGTCTTGTGATGGCACTCGGCGTTACCACTTGGTGTGCTTGTGTGCTGCTCCTCGTAAAAAAAAAGTAAAGTAACAGCCTATACATGCCTCACTACTGGGCAAAGGCCTCTGCATCAGGGCATAGTCCACCACGTAACCCCACTGCGCATTGGCGGACTTCACACATATCTTCCAAATATTTTTTTTTTGGTTATTATTTCGCAAATGTGCAGGTTTCTTCGCGATGTTTTTCTTCACCGCTGAGCACGTGATAATTCAGTGCTTAAAATTAACAACTACATTGGTGCCGACACCGGGGATCGAACTCGGGTTGCTCGAGTATATTAGATCAAAGGCGAGCCACTGAGCTACCACGACTCCCCGTTGCTCACCTGATATTACGCCAGTCTATCAGGTCGGGGCGGTTCCTGTGGATGAGCGCGTTGAACGCCAGCCCGTCGCGCCAGGAGGAGGTGAAGTCTGCGACCCTCACCCCGGGGTACTTCGCGGTGGAGCGGCGGGCCCAGCTGAGCAGCGCCTCGCGGGCGGTGACGTTCGCCTCTTGGCCCACAACGATATCCGAAATCTGGAACGAGCACTTCGATGTCAGTGCGAGGTTCTTGCACTGTTTAGCCACGCGGCTTCTGTCGCATGAACGGTTATATACATTCAGTAGTCGTTAGTTCTTAAAGCTCGGCTATGCAATTGGAGTCTCGCGGGCGTTTATAATATGAAAGGGCAATGGTGATTAATATCAACGAACTATAACAAATAAACAATTTTGGTGTATGCATTGCAATCGATTACATGGGATAAAAGGCTACAGGGCTAGCGTGTTAATCTTCTAGATCTAAATCACGCCCACTATTGGTTAGGACAAAATATAAGCAAATTCGTAGCAACGTATGGACACCTTAACTGATAATTTTTTTGTTAAAAATTTTCCGTATTGTAGCATTACATTAACCTTTGATGTAAGAGCATTTTACAAAAATAAGTTTCATGTGGTCACACACAGCTCCGACATTATTATCTGTGGCTCACACAAATAGTTGTCTTGACTGGGACTCGAACCCATGAGCCCCGGCGCCGAAGTCATTGACAACTGCGCCACGGTGTCCTCATTGCATACCTATCCACGTTGCACGTATCCGTTGCAAAGTTTACACAAATAAATCAATGAGAATTTTGCTGTACTCAACACGATTCTGTAAATAATAATTTCTTGTATTTACGCGATTACACATTATAAATGAAACTAATTTTACGGATTTATCGCGTTTATTTTTAATTTTAGTTCCCGACGTTTCGAACCCTTTACAGCGTTCATGGTCACGGGACAGACTGAGGTGTTAGACGTCTGATTGTCAAAGTTAACCCGGGCTACCGTCAGTTTTTGTATTATTGATTTTGTGTCCGATCTATGCAAAGGGAGCTAATTGTATCTTGTCTTGCAGTAGTGATTCTTTCGGGCTTAGATTTAATTTTATTGATGATAGGATCCCAAGCTGATGGTAGTACCCAACCCTCTTCTCTATTGAAATTAGGGTGTTTTTTAATTTCAATAGCCTCGCGAATCATCCTCGGGAGGAATCGGTGTTCTTTTGCAAGGATCTGTGGTTTGTCAAACCTGATGTAGTGGTTGGGCCGATTTACAGTGTGCTCACAAACTGCAGACTTGTTTAATCTACTATGTTTTATGTCAGCTATATGTTCTTTCACGCGGGTTTTTATAGCTCTTTTCGTTTGTCCTATGTAAGAGAGCCCACATTCACAGTCAAGTTTGTACACTCCTGGATCTTGCAGAGGGATATTACACTTGACAGATGGTAAAAACTGACTAATCTTCTTCAGCGGCTTGTAGAATGTATTAATTGAAGCCCGCTTTAAGATATAGCCAATCTTGTCGGTGACTCCTCTGACATATAGTAGAACAGCAATCAACAATCTCATTCCTACGTGTGTCAAAATCTCTACGAAGAAGGACATTCGAGGAAGCGCGAAGATCTTAAACCAGGCCAGTATAAAATTGTTACGTAGGGTAATTCGTCAAAATAGATCCGATCTATGTGTCATTAATTCTGCCATAGATAATTCATCCAGTCAGCTTAAAACAATTTTAACGGCATTTGATTACCAAAACTGCATGTATACATTAAATCAGCGCGAAACAACTAAATATAAGCAATGCAAAAATAAACTTATTGAAAAATATCATAAATTAGTCAACAAATCAAATGCCAAACGATCGTCGCAACGCATGAACGAAACGCAACCGTTGACCACAGACACAGATAATAGACATCGCGCGGTCTTTAATCTGTCACAACAAACACTGGATGAATCTACTATGAAGGTGTTATCGAAAGGCTTAAATTTCGCAATAACGCCGCGAAAAATCCTGTACGAAGAAATAATCTGTAGTGTCGAGGACTGTCTATATAAAAATAATATCGGCAAGGAAGATTTAGAAGGTATACGACAAGATATTTCGTCTTTATTACGTCGAAGTTCGGTACCGAAGTCTAACCTCCCCAAAGATGAATTTAACGCGTTAAACAGCTTACGCAACAACAAAGATTTAACTGTTCTCCGTGCAGATAAAGGAAATGCTTCGGTGGTTATGAAAACGTCGGATTATAATTTGAAAATACAAGAACTGTTGTCGGATGTAAGCACGTATAAAAAGGTCAAAACAGACCCAACCACTAAAACGCTTAAATTAACTAGCAATCTCATTAAAAAATACTCCGAAAAATTAAATCTAGACCTGAAATCGATGACACCTCCATGTGCTAAACCCCCTAAATTGTATGGGTTGCCTAAAGTACACAAACCAGACTTGCCATTACGCCCTATTGTAAGCCAGATCGACTCACCAACTTACAGACTGGCTCAACATCTAGTACAAATTCTCTCACCGCTGAGAGGACACACACGGGCATACACAAAGGATTCTTACCATTTTGTTAGTGAGATAAAACAACTATGTCTTGCTGACAATGAAACAATGGTCACTTTTGATGTACAGTCTTCATTTACATGCCTACCATTAGAAGACTGCATCTCGATTGTAACAAGGAAGCTAAAAGAGAATAACATGCCGGAAGAGTATGCATTACTACTTAAACATTGCCTAACATCTGGCTATTTGCTTTGGAAGGAGGAATTTTACATACAGATAGATGGTGTAGCAATGGGCTGCCCAGTATCTCCCATTGTCGCTGACATATTTATGGAAGACTTTGAGGAGAAGGCCCTTCGCACAGCTCCCATTTATCCAAGGTTTTAAGAGGTATGTAGATGACACCTTCACCATTTTACCAACAAGTAAAGTTAATGCATTTTTAAATCACCTTAACTCAGTAAATTCCAAAATACAATTCACTATGGAATTAGAGAATAATAACTCTTTAGCTTTCTTAGATGTTTTGGTCATCCGCAATCCAAATAACACTATAAGTCACACTGTGTATAGGAAGGCAACCCATACAAATAGATACCTAAACGGTGACTCTCACCACCATCCATTCCAGTGAGCTACCGTGGGTAAATCTTTGTTTCAGAGAGCACAAGGGATCTGTGACAAACAACACCTGGCCGCTGAGCTTCAACATGTCAAGCAAGTTCTGCATGACAACAAACTTCGAGCACCGCGCCTACGTCACAGTGACCGAGTGAAACCAGCCACAGTGGAGCGAGTACCTGCTGTTCTACCATATGTCAGAGGAGTCACCGACAAGATTGGCTATATCTTAAAGCGGGCTTCAATTAATACATTCTACAAGCCGCTGAAGAAGATTAGTCAGTTTTTACCATCTGTCAAGTGTAATATCCCTCTGCAAGGTCCAGGAGTGTACAAACTTGACTGTGAATGTGGGCTCTCTTACATAGGACAAACGAAAAGAGCTATAAAACCCGCGTGAAAGAACATATAGCTGACATAAAACATAGTAGATTAAACAAGTCTGCAGTTTGTGAGCACACTGTAAATCGGCCCAACCACTACATCAGGTTTGATAGACCACAGATCCTTGCAAAAGAACACCGATTCCTCCCGAGGATGATTCGCGAGGCTATTGAAATTAAAAAACACCCTAATTTCAATAGAGAAGAGGGTTGGGTACTACCATCAGCTTGGGATCCTATCATCAATAAAATTAAATCTAAGCCCAAAAGAACCACTACTGCAAGACAAGATACAATTAGCTCCCTCTGCATAGATCGGACACAAAATCAATAATACAAAAACTGACGGTAGCCCGGGTTAACTTTGACAATCAGACGTCTAACACCTCAGTCTGTCCCGTGACCATGAACGCTGTAAAGGTTTCGAAACGTCGGGAACTAAAATAAAAAATAAACGCGATAAATCCGTAAAATTAGTTTCATTTACGATTCTGTAAAGTTTAGCTAAAATCCATTACTTTCACCCCAAACCTTTTTTTCCACTTGTTTCAATGAAAGCAAAAGTATAACCAGTTAACAGATATGAGGCATTAACATTTGTAGATATTAGGCACAAAAAAGCCATACAGATATGCTCGTAGCATTGGTCCTAGCAGCAATTATGCAACGCGATGTTCAAGCGGGCGCAAACAATTAGCGGTGTTAGCGATATGTAGATTTCTCTATTTCGCGGCGATGACGCCACCGAAAGCGTTACGTACTATTCATGCACTGGGATTCACAACCCAGAGGCTCGGTTTACCCTCGAGATAGATCTCAATAGCACAGACCTATCGTTATGAAGACCTTGTTCAGGGCAATCATGTTTTAATAAAGATGACTCATGTCCACACTGTTTGTTCCGCTTTTCATCAATACATGACATATATAAGTGAACGTAGCACATGGTATAGAACGTATGGCACGGAAAGTAATAGAGCTAATCAATTATAACAATCCCGTAATTTTAATGCCTCAGATTCGGCGCTAAAGCGTCGTATCTACATCGTATTTGTATATAATATCATTGGTTCAGGGCATATGAAGACAAGAAAAGAAAAGTAAAATTTTTTTATGCGATCATTTTGCAAACGCGAAGATTTACTACATGTGAAGTGATTAACGTCGCACATATACATTTACAAAACTCGACGGTTTTAAGTACACTGACAAAGAGTCAATCAATAAGTACGGGCGCCTCGCTCGCCAGTCGTAAAGAAAAAGTATTATACCATCACTTGACGACTTTTGTGAGGTCGTGACACTTCACAGAACGAGGCTTCTCAGTTGTTAATACGCCTTAAAATATCTTCATAGCATTAATACCGACGATGAGCTTATAACTATAACGATGACGAATTGGCAGTTAGTCGAGATTTTTACTTGACAAGTGATCAGCTTGTCATTACACCAGACTTTAAAGCGAAGAGGAAAGTCATTTGGGTACACTGTGGGGTTTCAAACTCACCACCTCTACCTCTCATCATTCGTTGAACTTAAATTTTGAGAGGGCTATTTGCAGGCTAATAGACATGCAGACAACGTAGTAGTTTAACAATAGAGAGCTATCGATTCTCGGTCATCACGCCTACGCTTTGGACGTCGCTTAACACTGACACGCCAAAGGCATTTACCGAG